AGAATCAGCTTAGCTTCTCCTCCAACCAAAGAAGAAGAATCTGTTGGACGTCTGAAGTGCATTGTATTGGTTAGCCTATCTCAGGGATGCTATATACTACTGTGCGGTGCGCTAGTCCATAATAGGAAGCCTAGGCTCCAACAGAATCAACCATCCCGCAGCCGCTCATGACTAACACCTTACTCAGCAGCAGCATCCAGTTAACTAGTTACTCCGTAGTTTAACTGTAACCAGTTAACTAACTAGTTAACTAACTTGACTATCGAGTTAGCTGTTAGTTAACTAGAAATTAACTGTGACCAACCAACCAGCCAGCCAGCTACCGTGAGTTAACTGGTTGCGTTCGTTGGTGAGAACCCGTCATCGCTGGGGCAGCCTCGATAAGCCGGCGATATCAGAAGGATAAACCTGGGAACGGTTCTCCAGACTCAGTCGACATCACGCCACAGGTAACACCCGCAACCAAAGCAACACGACTCACCTGTTTCTCCCCTTCCTGGCTCCCTCATAAACTCCTGCTCTATCCCCAGTCCGATTTCCCATCAACCAGACCCTCTGTGTACAGTATTCCTCCTGCTGCCTTCCTTGTTAGCCTCCACTAAAATTTTCTATCCTGGAGGCATAAACATCCGACATGTAAAAACCTCCCCTCTGCAGGCATTTGAAATCAATCTACCTCAAGCTAGAGCTCCAGTTAGTTCAGCCCATTGATCCCTCATCTGCTTCCACCAACCATCCAGCTCCAAATTGCTGTTGGTCTGGTTTAGAAGATTTGCAGCATAGACCTTTTCCCCTGCCGACTATTAAGGGTGCTAGAAAGGCTACACCACCGGCTTCGTCGTTAGCAACAGTGAACACCGAGCCCGATACATCCACCCTTCCTTCTCCCTTGTAACAAATTAGCCTAGCATCTCCACCCTTCAACTGTCTGTTTGCTTTGCCCTCTGGACCCAGCAATTCCCTAGTCTCAAGATCCATATTCAACCAGAATGACGAGGGCGGCGACCCCTCAGCTTATCTCTGAGATCCGAGATCCCGAGTCGACCGCGTCACGGATTGTGGCGCTACGGGTGTTGAAAAATGAGATTATTGGGCATGACCAAAGAAAAGAAGCTTGGATCGGATGGGGCATTGTTCCTTTGCTATCACAGATCCTAGCAGGACGTCGAGGGACGGGGAAGAGGTCGGCCGTCGGCGAACGGAATGGTGACGCAAAACATCCCTCCTCCGGGCGGAGGAATAGTAGATCTGATGAAGATGAGGCTTGCTTACAGGCGATTATCATTATCGGCAGTTTAGCTCAAGGTATGTAACTACCCCCTTCTTCAGCCTTCTCCTTTCTATACCATCTTGTTGCCTTTTGAGGTTCTAGGAAGAAAGAATCTTTATCCTTCTTCTAATCCAATAGGGTTGAAATAGGGGGTCCGCCGTTCATATCTCCCATTGCTGCAGGTGGCATCTTTCCCCAGCTGCTGTCAATATTGTCCTCGCCAAACTGTCATCCCTCACTTTTCCTTGCCGTCCTGGAGACTCTCAACATAATCGCCGATAGATTCCCCCTGTGTCAGCAGCGAAGCTCGCAGCATGTAAAACAGCTATCTTCTCTCCTATTCTCTCGAGACCATGTTGAAACCCTTCGCAGACTGATAATCGATTCGACCGTATCTCCCTCCTCCATTTCGGAATTGTCAGTCGCCCTGGCTGCAAACTTAATTGCCAAAACTTGTTCAGAGGAAAATCACAAGACTTTACTGGCGGAATTCGGCGTCCTAGATGCGCTGGCTCTCAAACTCTCCACCTTTGTGGTTGCGCAGGGGTTTGTTCTCCCAGGCGCTGAAAACAGTGCCATGGATCCGGGCGCTTTGAAGATGTTACCTCCAGCTGCCCCTCCCAATGCAAGGCTTGCCCCTATTCTACGAGCTATCGCCGTAATTATCGAAAATTCAAAATCTCGCGCAGAACACTTTGTCTCATCCCCAGCGGTGATAACCGTGTTCCCCAAAGAGGTACCCGAGTTTTCACCCAATGATATCAAAAAAACGCCATGGGGATCGACCTATTTCTCCGGGTTCGCAGTTCCTCGCCATAGTGCAACCAATCCAATTGACGCCATTCTCCCTTCCGTACCAGTCGTACAGACAAAAATCTCGACAAACTTCCCGCCGCTCGGCTCTCATAACTCGTACGGGAGGCATGGCCAATTTTTTAGCCCACCCATTTCCATACCCGAATCAAACGTGTCCGATGAGGAGGAAAGCGCCGTCATATCGTGGCTTTTCGCAGTTATTCGAGCAGAGTCGGATCTGACCCGGCTCGTGGGAGCCAAGTTGGCAACAAACCTCTGTCGTTTAGGGTTAGCAAAAAAGCATCGGCTGCCAATGTTCGGATACCTGCTGATCCCGCTGCTTATTGCCACGTTTGAGAAGGATTTCGAAGTTCCTGATGATGCCGATGTTTATGAGAGCGGCCTGATTCCGACAACTTTACGCATCAAAGAAGAAGCGCCAGCAATTCTCGCGTCACTGATTATGGATAGTTGCGAACTCCAATCTCATGCAGGAGAAGGCGGAGCTATTCCAAAACTTGCACAGATGCTTAAGGAGTCTTTCAACCCTATTGCAGGGACAGGCAAGCCCATGTGGAATCCGGACAAAAGTTTGCTTGCAACATGCAATGCTTCGCAGCCAGAGCTATGTCTTGGACCTCGCGGTTTATCTCCCATGGTATATCACAAGATGAAACTTCGCGAGGCCGTTCTCAGAGCCCTGGCTGCCCTGGGCCTCTTTAAGGAGGAATACAGAAGAATGATGTGCGAAAATGGCGTCACAGGCTACATTATCGATTCGATGAAGCCATGTGACCCAGAGTCCCCCGATGCCCTTGATGGAAATCCAGTTCCAACGCTGCTTGCAGCTTGTGCAGCTGTGCGATCATTGACCCGATCTGTGACCGCATTGAGGACGAACATGATTGACCATTGTTTGACAACTCCGATGTTTGCACTGGTCAAGCATGGGGATATTGATGTTCAGATTGCTGCAACTTCAGTTTTATGTAATCTGACATTGGATTTCAGTCCATTGAAAGAGGTAAAGTCTGAAAAGTTTGATTTTTTCCCCAACTCTTCTGTCATATCTCCTTGAGCATCTCAATGCTAACATTTGTTGATAGATCATTGTTGAACACAATATGATTCCAGTACTCTGCGAACATTCACATTCATCGAATAGCAGACTCCGTCTGGAAGCTCTCTGGGCACTGAAGCATATCGCTTTCAATTCCACGAACGACATTAAAATAAAAATAGTTGAGGAACTCGAACCCGGCTGGCTAAAGCAAGTCATCTGCCACGATCCTAACGATCCAAATCTCAGACGGAGAATAGATGATGATATAGGTGGTGGTTCTTCATCGATCGGAATGGGAACTTCGAACTCTGTCGGAGAACAGGTCGACATCCTTAATCCAACGGACATGTCTGACAAGGAATCTCAGCCCCACGAGGAAGACCACCAGATGACAGACGTCATCATGTCACCGAAAACAAGCCTCGATAGTTTCATCGCAGACAATTCCCGTCGTCGACGCCTCGCCATAAACGGCGACCTGGATCAAACAAAACAAGCACGACGCGACGATCTCCGCGTCCAAGAACAAACTTTCGACCTCCTCCGAAACATCATCTGTGGCATCGGCGCACCAGAGATGATCGACTTCCTCTTCCAGGAAGTCGGCCAAAGCGACCTCTTCAACATCCTCGCGGACAAGTTACGCCCCAAAACCCTCAGCAGCTACAGTCGCAAAGACACCTCCCTGTCCACAAAGTCCGTCGCCATGCCGGCCGAGATTCTCGAATCGGTTACATACATGATTATTCACATCGCAGCGGGCTTGTCTCGCCACCGACAGCTGCTGATACAGCATCCCACCTTGTTGAAGCTCATGATTCCCCTGTTCAACAACCCGCGCACGCAGATACGAAGAAACTGCGTGTGGGTGATTATTAATTTGACGATTGCGGATGACCAGATGGATCATGCTAGTTGTCGCGAGCGGGCGATTAAGCTTAAGAGTCTGGGTGTGATGGAGAAACTGCTCAGTTTGGAAGAAGATTCTGACCCGGATGTGAGAGAGCGGACTAAGACTGCATTATCTTTGATGCGTGCATTGCTTCAGTAGCTTTGTAATTGATATGCTAGGGCTGAAAATCCGTACTGCTTTCTTAAAGCTTCAGGTTATCATTTTATTTAATCCTCTCACTTTTTTTTTCCCCATTCCTGGTTTGCCCAGGCCATGTGCTCCTCTCATTCCACGCCTCATCTCTTTCTTTTTCTTCACGTCACCTTTTCATTTCTCCCTTGTAGCTATCCCAGAGCTTTATTCTCTCTTCAAGTCCATATAAATGGTCCACACATAGCATGCGATGCAATTTATTCTCTGCTTTCTCTGCTTTCGTTCGACTCCTTCCTTTCCCCCTCCATTTCCTGTTGCTTACATTCTCACAACTCCCTTTCTCTCCAGTTAATGCCTTTATGATTGCTCATTCTTTTTTACATCATTATTATTCAACCCTGGTTTTCCATAACAATCCATGCATAAATTAAATCGAGAGAGAAAGAGAGAGCCTGTGAAGATACTGAAATTCCTAAATCGGCACAAGCTAACCGCTAAGGGGGTGCATGGGTGGGACATATTCTCTCTTTTTCTTATTTTCTTTCTTTTTCTTCCATTTCCTTCATTTTTATTTACTGATAAGGAAAAGTTCAAGTTCCATTTTCTCTCGCCTTTTTTTGTTGACGGCTCACAAAAGTGCGGATTCGTTGCTTACTTCCAACTCTTTCTTATACATACATATATTCATATACACACGTTCATTTCTCTGCTCTTGTCTATTCCTTTTGACACTATGTTTATTCTGTATTTCCAATTTACCAAGCAGACATCCAATGTCGAAAGAAACTAACTAACCAGCCAAAAATAAATAAATAAATAAAAATAAATCAAATCTTCGCCCAATCCATCTTCGCCAACCTCTCATAATACTCCCTCTCACTCAACGTATTCTTCACACTCTCCCTCCCCAAAACAGCCTTTTCCCACTTCCTCCACCGCGCCCAAACCCCCTCATCCTCTTCCCCCTTCCCTTCGGCCGGAATCCCAAGCCCACCCTCCTTGAACTTCTCCGCCTTCCAAAACCTCACCGCCCACGGCGCCAGCGCAATATCCGTCAACCCTATCTCCCCACCAAAGAAATAAGGTCCCTCGCCATGCATCGCCCGCGTGAATTCCTTAAGCGCCTTCAAAAACTCCCCGCGCGCCGCATGGAGGTCGTCTGTCGACTTGGCCAGTTGTAACTTGCGATAGTTGGGGGTGATGCGGCTGTCGACGAAGTTGATCCAGATGCGGGCGCGGGCGCGCTCGTAGGGGTCCTGGGGAAGCAGGTGTGGGGTGTTTTCTGGGAAGGCTTCTTCGAGGTATTCGTCTATGATGTTTGATTCGTAGAGGGGTTTGGAGGGTTTGTTGTTTGGTTGGGGGGCGATAAGGGTTGGGACGAGGCCCTTTGGGTTCAGGGCGAGGAAGAAGGGGGATTTGTCATAGGGGTTTATTTCGATGTATTGGTATGGGATCTTTTTTTCTTCGAGGGTGATCCAGGTGCGTTGGACTGTAGGTTTTTTTTTTTTAAAAAAAAAAAAAAAAAACATAGGATGACTCAATGGTTAGAGGTTTTTTTTTTTGAGGGGGGTGGGGGTGAACGGTGTTGATATATTATGTTTGTTGGTGGAAGGGGGTTTGATCATACCGTATCTAAAAATTGGTTAGTATGTAGGTATGATTATTGAAGGTGAAGAGATGATCAACATACGGGCAAAACCAGCCAGCATAGAGTTTCAAGGGAAGCTCCGCTGCGTGTTTGTCTACCAGGGCCTTCGCGGCACCTGTTGCAACTGGATAACGGGACATGGCGTCTGGTTTCGAATATAAGGGTTAATTTATATAGTTGATAGAATGGTTGAACCAGAAATAGTGTTCTGAGATGGAATATGAAGAAGACCCAACAAATCGAACGAAGAATACCGTGGGTATACATAGAGTTAATACCTCAGAAGTGAGCAATGGCAACACCTTGACTTGGTATGATATCATGCACTTGTGGAGAACAGCGGAGGGGCGTGAAACGAGGGGGAGAGTCTCTGTTGGTGGCAGAGGTGCATTAATACTTCAAGAAGGGTTTTGCTCGTATTCGAGAGATGAATTTGAAATCACGGAATCGACCTCCCGTGTCCTCATAGCCATATTTGCTTGCCATTACGCACTACCGTCTGCTCCGGGGTGTATAAAGTTGGATGTTTGCCGTTGGTCCGCGACTCGGCTGTTGACAAGTATAGCCGGACTTGATTTGTACGGAGAAATGGGGGAAAAGAAGATCAACGAACTGCCAGTGAGAGAGCGTCACTAATGAACCAACACTGTCAACAACTGTGGTATCATTCAACATGTCAGTTAACAAGCAAAATCCGACTGAAAGTGTAGCTGGTTAATGGTTACACTGCGATCTTTTAACAATAGTTACTCCGACAGAATCAAGATATTTGGCCATTAGTTAATAGATAAAATCGTTGGAGGCGTTTCGCAAGGCCACTGCGCAAGGGGCAGAACTTTCTTAACTTCGTGGATGTTGCCTCCATAGATTTGAAAACTCTCGATTTAAGAAAGGGTAACAGTCTGCCGCTCAGTCACGAAGAATGTGAAGGTTGAGAACGGCAAAGCTCTAGGATTACATATTGTATCCTAGGCAGGGATGAAGCCAGTTAAGAGTCACCCCTGCATCTGCACACATCACCACGTCCTAAGGTATCTCCGCTGCCAGGCTCCAACTTAACCCTCTGCAGGGTGATATGCAAATCCCCTTACACAGACATTACTTTTGTTAACATGGCAGTGCCTTGCCAGAATCATCTCGCAAATGCCGTCATATCCCTGTCAACTGTCCATCAAATCTAGCAAGGAAGTAGATTGTTAGAGGAACAGAGAAGGTCTTAGTTACATAGAAACATCAGTAAGAAACATAAAAAGAATGAAAACAATATATATCTTCTGGAAAAGGCTTTGTGGAGATATGTACTTGATCTCCGATTGTTCCTCTAGAAAAAAAAAAAAATCTTTTAAGCCGACAGATGTAATATCTTATCTCCCCCTTTCTGGGATATTTACAAGTCCTCAAATCAAGGGGTTCTGTGAACAAGAGAACTGACCTCAACTTGTTTCAGCTGATGTTGTTATTGCCCTGGAGACCAGCCAGTTCACTTCTATGTCTTCAAAACTTCATCCTTCTTTTCACCTTCTTTTCACAAACACTTTTACAGTTCATCATGATACTGTTGAAAATTCACCACAACTCTCTTGACAATTTTTCAAGAAGGTCGACCCTCCACCCCATGGTCAAGATGTTCAAATGCAAGGGCTGCGGGCATGAGATGCAATTCCAGCAGAACTACTTGCATCACACTCAGACTGGGCAAACGCTGCAGTTTATCCACTGCTCGTTCACGTTTGACAGCTTGTGCAAGCTAAGAAGCCATCGACAAAGCATTCATCCGAAGTATGACCAATCTTAGGAAATAAATATGGACTGTAGCATAAGAGATAGGACGTCACTGATAGATTATTATGATTATGAGCAGAGAGTTCGATGAAAGCCGTAAAATGATACAGAATCCTGAGGTTGTTGCAAAAATGTACAATCACAAGAACACCTCTGGAGACATTAGTGGTGGATCTACGGCAAAGACCATGGGAAGCATAAACTCTTCTCCACGTTCTTCTGGAGCTGTTTCCATCCTAGCAGCCAGGACGGGAGAGAGGGAGACCCGAGAACAAAAGCCTGTGATTGGGTTTGGACAATGGCGTTCGCTGCAGAGAAGCAAGCCCAGAACCCCAGTTGGGAAAAATGATCAATCTCCCGTATCTGAACCGAATGGTATGGGAAGGGAGATTTGATAGATGTCAGCATCCCGGATGAGGACACATGCAACATAGCTAGCGCCGTCAAAGTCATCACGGACAACGTAAAAATCAGTCTCAACCAAGGGAGGGGGAGACGGAGGTCAATAAAATGACAGAGCAATCCGTTTCAGCAGATACGACTCTTATGGACTCTGACCATGCCAAGATAACTGTACACAACATTGGAAAAGCAATTACCCCATCCAATGGGCAGCGAACCGCGGAATCTAGCCATCGAGGTGGAATGGAAGCAGTTGAGACCATCAGTGCCAGGGCGTCACATGGCTCAGGGGTTTCCGGCGAATATTATGATTCCCAACTAGAAAATGCCGCCCTGGCGAAAAAGAACCACCATACAACACCGGTGGAAGGCTCTGAAGTTGCAAAGGCCATAGAACCTACGCACACCTATAAGACATTCGCCAAAATGCAACCAGAACCTACCGGAGTAGGAAGCGCCTGCTACGGTTGCGGTGACACATTTAACTCGGTAGTTAGTCTCCAACTCCATCAGATGGCAAACGAGCATAACTGCTGCAAATTGTGCTTCAGTTTCTTTAGCGATGACTCCCTTTTCAAATTCCATATTCAGAAGATGCACACATTTAAATGTTAGCATGCCATCTGACTTTCAAGAGCCAGGAATAGAGGATGAAGCACCAGCGGGAGACGGGACATGCACATTGCAAGGACTGCAGCGGCTACTTCTTGGACCAGGAGAGCGTAAGTAAACACCACAAGATCCACAATCGCACCAAGTTCTCATGCCCCCTTTGCAGCAGCGTATTCAAAACAAAGATGGGTCGGAACGCACACCAAAGAGACGTAGGACATGCATATTGCAAATTGTGCATCTGTTACTTCTTGGATCGGGAAAGTTTTGGGAAGCACATTGATTGTCACCGGAGTACCAACCGACTCGTGTGTCCCTCGTGCAAACTTGCATTTCAAACGGAAAAAGCCCGCACTGCTTATCAAAAAGCAGTCAAGCACGGCAAGTTTCCCCATTGCGGAGAAGAATTCACGGATGTTGCGAGCGCGACTAAACATGCGGCAATCAACCACACCTACCAACGCCTTCTGGGAGGCTGCAACTTTGCTTTTCCGACATTGGATCATCTACTGGGCCATCAGAGGAAAAACCATCAGCATTGCAAACCTTGCGATCGTTGGTTCGGGGACAAAGCAGCGCTGGAGTCTCATGAGAAAAACGCCAACCGACACAAGCAGCCAGCTTAAAGAATGGCATTGGGTGCAGATTGGAGATTGGGATAAAGAGATCAGGCATCACAAGATGACATAATAGTGAATTGGATTACGAGATGTCTCTCTGATATATGTTAAGTCTTCTTCAAATAAAACGTGAGATTGCGCCAGAGAGTTGGATGGGTTTGATGAAATGGTTGTCAACAGTCGAGGATGATAGGAGCCTATCAATAACTTGGGGAGCATATATAAAAGCAGTTGAGTGTAACTACTCCGTAAGGACAGGAAAAGGGATTTTAGTCCTTCAGTAATACAGACATCCCACGAATGCTATCCATGGATTGTTCATGAGTGAGCATCGTCGTAGGAAATTAACAACTTGATGGACGTTTGATAGGGTGTAAATAGCAGGGCCCGGAGAAATGGTTGATCCGGGAGCAGCATCGCGGAACCTTTTGTTCAGCAGGATGAGATACATATATATATACATTTATATCCGTGAATTTGATTCCCACAACAATATAAAATTTAAAAAAAATGGCGCCTGCTAGGAGTGATTCCGCGCGCCAGGATGTGAATAATAGTGTCCATCCACCTATTGCGTCTCTTCCTGGGCCCCATCCTTCCTATATCCAGGTCGCGAAGCCCTATGTCTTCGAGCGGACTGTTCATGAATGTATAGCCGCCACTGGTGTCGACCAGCTAAGAGAAGACAGCATTCGACTCCAGGGTATCACTTGGATCGACAACGTCCGGAAGGCTCTCCATTTGTATGCAAACTTTCTTGTGCATCTGATTTAGTTTTGTCTTTCATCCTTTATATCTTGTTCGAGGCTGATATATCCTGTCCAGACCCGTCCGTACATTCAACACTGCTGCTATTTATTATCATAAATTCCGTCTCGTGCATTCAGATAGCGAATACAACTATCTAGTATGTCTGGCTCGTTCATCTAGCTCTCTGATTTTTCCATGCTTACTTTCGGTAACAGGATGCGGCGGCGGCGGCGTTGTTCACTGCCTGCAAGATCGAGGATACACTCAAGAAATCACGAGAGATCCTCTGCTCCGCGTATAATCTCAAACTCTCACCAGCAGAACACCTGTCTGCAGATGATCCAGTAGGCCTCCCCATAAAGCGGAAGCTACGAAGTACTCCTTCTTACTAACGATGATGTATCACATGCAGCTTTTTGAATCTCATTCCCGTGGAATAATTGGACTGGAGCGGCTAATGCTCGAATCATCAGGATTTGACTTCCGAAACCGCCATCCTCAGAAGTCACTAATAAAATTGATAAAGCACTTTAATTTTGACAAGGACTCGAAAACGTCCGCAGTCTCCTATGGCATGAGCCTCGATTTGTACCGGACTTTTGCTCCCCTCAAGCAGACGTCAGCAACCATGGCCTTTGCCTGCCTTGAACTAGCAGGTCGACTTCTCAACGACCGTCATGAACGCGTGGAGTCAGGAAGGGTATATAGACTCTGGCTGACATCCCGCGAAGAAATAATGGGTACGTCTTTCGATGGAAACATATTGATCTTGAATTTTCCTGGAGAAAACATTTACAATGTCGTCCCAAATGCTAAACCCAATCTCACAGAGACAATGCTCGACTTGCTCGAACTCTACACCCACAACCGAAGTTCAACTTCCATCGGCCCCGATTTCCCCCTCGATCTATTCCTCAACATCCGCATCCCCCTCAACCAAGAAGTCGACTCCAAAAAGCTACCCCGCTTCACATATTGGGACTCGGACAAGTCCGGTACCAACGGGGCTAAAGCACCAAACGGGTTGAAAAACAATGGCGATGGGCACAAAAATGGACGCCTGCCCAACCCGCTAACTCCAACGGCCGCCCATGAAGCACAAGGAAGAGCCGGGGATAGGGCTCGTGAGGGCACCGTCCGGTTCATGCTTTATCCTGAACAGGCCAGAGTGGAGCGAGAGACTGTGGCGGAATATTTCAAGGTGGAGATGGAGGAGTATGAGGTGGATGAATAGGCTTGCCAGGTTTCTTTCGGAACCCAGGCACACGGCACACAAAAACTCTCTGCACAATACTTTTACGAGGGCAGCATGTGGCATGCTCAGCAACTCGCAAGTGCAGCCATCTGTCGTCGGAGCACTGAGCCTGGACGTCTGAGGACCGCAGTTATTTCCACCCAAGAAATAACCACTGACACGGGGGTAGAGATATTACTCGTGGCAGGGATATCCTGGATGTCTTTGCTTGCTTCTTCCTAAGAGCGTTTCTGTATAAATGAGGAACCTCATCTTCGAACCGTCCATGTGATCCAGCTACCTATGCTACCTATATATGATCACGGACTCAAAAACACCAAAATTATCCCCTTCCACTAACCACCAGCAGCGCACCGGCAGTGCACGCTATTCACCATTCCCACAACCTACTCTGTAAAATAACAAACTGTCAGGGGAATCCTTCCTACCTATCACTATCCATTGGACAAAAAGAAAACAGGTACACCGACTCTACCCGCTTCAGGAAACCTTTTGGTCTATCGCATAGCCATACCACTCATAAACACATAAGCATTCTGTTTTATTGTTATTGTTGTTCCATCCTAGACCTACAAGAACCCCACATGAATTTGCCTACTCGTCCATCCCATCCCGCAGCTACCACCACTCCGTATGTCCCCTCCATACATCTCCTATACTCCTTTTGCAGCTCCTACCTCTCCAATCTCAAAACGCCACGGGCATTTTTAGCATCGAACGTCCTTCACCAGTACGATCTAGCCCTCTTCACCGGCATCTAACACGGCTCTTTTCGGGTTCGATAAGACGATATAAGACAAATGATGGCAGATAACTATGGGAAGGGATTAGGGCTTTGTCTTTAACTATATACTTATTTCACAGCACAATGTATATATTTCCTCCATGCATAGAGAGCGGGTGAATATATGATGATATTCATCATTAACAAAATTGAAATTAAATGTCAAGAATACATGACATATCTGTTATTATTTCAATTACACATGCATTGAAGTGCATGATTACATGACATTTCATTTCTGCAATTGTTGAGATACACTTCAAAGGCAACGCTCAATTAATTGTTCTTAATAACTTGACAATAGATATTTTTATCATAATATTTGTATACTTCTCACCTCTTCAGATTAAGATATATCTATGTATATATAAATATAGCACAGGTTCTCTACCCTCTTTTTCACTTCTGAGCACAAGTAAATGATATGTGTCATAAATATGTAGTCATAACAAAATTAAAAATTAACTTGAAAAAGAAAAGCAGATTTCAGACAAGACAAAAAGTGTTAAAAACCGAAAAAGGTGTCAAGATATAGAATGTCAGCTGCATTTTCTCTCACTCTCACATTGACTTTGAAAGTTAACTATATATTATTAAAATGAATCTGTACACAAACATAAACACATTTGAAAACGTACAAGAAAAAGAAATTAATAAGTAAAGCCATAATATGGGCACATTGGGCATCAAGGAAACATGAATATGCTTGTGGACTTGGAGAGCAGGGACAAAAGGGGTAACTAATGCATAGACAAGGGTAAGGTAGATATGCAAGCAATAGTTACGAGTAATACCTAACTACCGAGGCAGGGGGTGAGGGGTGGGTTCCATCAGTTAACTGCTCCCACCCAAACTCCACACCCCCACACCCGGGGACCAAAAGAAAAGTTCAACCCATCCTGAACAAACACCCAGGAAGGGCACAGGAAGTGGAAAGGTAACAAAATAAGTGGAAAATATTCCATTTGAATTTTTAGTTTTAAGGGCAGATATCCTAAGAAAAGTATTAAAGCAGGGGGTTTTGGTCTGGTTAGGCTTGGGTCATCACCAGGAGAAAGAGAATAGAATGCAAGAAAAGGAAACAGAATGGCTGGCGGAAGAAGAAAGTAGAAATAGGAACGAATGCAAATTCGATACAGTCACAGGGACTCGCAAGGCCAGAAGATCCAAAACAAGGGGAAAAAATTCGTTCATGGTGGGGGACGTAGGAGGGGGGGAGAGAGAGAGAGAGGGAGGAAGGGAAAGAGATGGATGAGTAGAGCATTAGCTAAACCCTCCAGAAAGAGGAAAGGGAAATAGCGGGCTATTATGAGATGGGAAATGGGTATCCAGCAAATATGTATATGGATATAAATATTGCGAAATATTACTATCGGCTTACGCGAAAATCGGGACTTAGGCATTCAAGCATCTAGAACGGGTGAAGGTGACACTGCGTCAGCAAAGATATAGCCTCATCCAGCAGATAGAGGGTATACACTTACGGTTTCCGAAACCTCGCCCTGATTATATAAATACTTAGTCAAACCCCTAATGACCTCTAATTGCTGATCAACAGTCAAACCCGTGATAGCCGCCTCGATCACATTGCCAACACTGGCCTTGTACACAGCAATGAAACTATGATAATACATGTATGCGAAGAAACCCATGATGAACTGGCAGTCCATGCGATCAGTGATTCCGCCGTGTCCCGGGATGGATTCGCCAAAGTCCTTTACTTTGAACGTCCGCTTCAGTCCCGAGGCAAAGAAGCCGCCAAATGGCGCAATTAGGGACGCGAAGGTTGCGAATACGAAGATATGGATTTGCATTGGGGCAAAGTAGACGGTTCGTGGAGGTGCGTGGGTCCAGGGGGCCCAAGAGAGTATTTGGTATGGGTGCGGCGTGAAGACTGGGTTTGGCGTGCATTCCAGGCCGGTTAGGACGTTGGATCCCAGGTCATTGACGGGACAGATGAAGTATTTATACTTCATAAGGATGTTTGTCATGCCGTATCCGAAGAGGATAGTGCAGATCCACGCGCCGACGAAGCCCTCGACGGTCTTTTTGGGCGAGAGTTTGATGAGTTGTGTGCGGCCGAATGTGATGCCGCAGATATAGGCGAAGATATCATTTGTAATGACGAGGGAGACAGGGAGGAAAAACCAAATCATGCCTTCGAAGATGTTGTTCATGATGAAATGGGCCTGGACGACGATGAGGTAGAGAGCCATGTGCGTCCAGGCAAACTGGGTGAACTGGAATCTATAATGCCCCTTCTGAAGCGATCCGACAAAGAAAACAAACCCTGAGCCAAAACAGAATAGATTAGCAAGGGATTCTGCACGCTCCCGACCATTTCCGCTGCCATTGGTATAAAAAAACGGTGAATTGAACGAACCCATAACGTAGAGCATGAAGCTGATGAAGCGATGGTGCGTAGCCAGCGGCAGTAGCACCCTGTCGACCAGGAGGATGTGCTTGAAATAGTAGATAACGCTCTCACCATAGAGGAAATACATCGTTGTTGCGAGGAAATACCAGTTGAGGGCCTTTGTGAATTTGAGATTCTTCGCCTTGCTGGGCACGTTTGCGATGGCAATGACCTCCTTGAACGAGATGATCTGCACGACCGTGATGATTGCGATTATGTAGATGTGGCCGGAGAATATGGCGATGAAGAAGCCAGCGATCATGACAAACGTCCATATTGTCCTGGTTATGAAGGTCTGTTTCTTCTTCTCATAGTCGGATGGGGGAGCAGCGTCGGATTTCTGCCGCGAAAAAATATCGAAAGGCTGTCAGCACATCACTCATATCACATAGCAGCGAACATGAACCATAATGAACGTGGTATGCCGGCTCTCTGAGTATACACACCTCCTCTGGCACGACCTCAACAGCTTTGGAGCCGGAGACGCCATTGTTGCTGGGGCTGGAGGGTTCTGATATGTCGCTGAGATCGGAGCTCTGTCGGGGGTCTGTGGATGCGGGCCGATGTTGGAACCGGACATTTCTTCGCAATCTGCCCATCCTGCAAACGGATGGGTATAAAACGAGGCGTCTAGAAATCCCTAGACGGCCTTCGTATCTTGGAGGGAGGTGGGCGAAAGGAGGGGGTATATATTTATAAGGTGAGGAGGGATAGTGATGTTTTGTTGGGTTAGAACTCGCTCAGCTGTTATTACTGAGTGGATGGAGTAAAACCAACCCAAAAGGACCAAGCAGCGGACACACGACGTCGAATATGGGATATTTATTTGGAGCTGACAACCAGAGGACTTATTTATTGCTTTTATTTTTTTTTATTTTTATTTTTATTTTTCTAATGATATGAGATCATTGTGCTATGTCTCTAGAGTATATTTAATCACAGCTGTAATATCTCAATGAAAAAACCAAATACCTTGTTTTCTGCGCTGCTGTGTTGGAGAGTTAAACATCCTCAACTAGTTAGCTAGATAATTTTCCGTCAAATTAAACCCTCAGCCTTTTTGACTTTGTTAACTGTCAAACATCTGATTCTACCAGCAATCGGCTGAAATAACTCAACCTGCAACTCCTGCAAGCCACAGACTCCCCAAGGCGGATATACAGCTACAGCTGTCCCTAAACGCAAGGTTGCCAAGGAGTCGCCGTTCGCCGATCTTTGACTCGGCTCTCCCGCAACTTGCAATCTACCACATTTTTACTTTTAAAGAATAAAGACAAAGAAGAAGAAATAGGCTGCGTTAAAGAATAAAATGCGCGCGCAGATAATAATATCGCGACAGTATTGAGCCTGCTACACCCTCTGTACGGAGAACTCAAGGAGACAGCGGCTGAGCTCCTCCCATCGCGTGCGGGCTAGCTACCCCGCAGAATCCAACAGCTCGATGGCATGGACGACGACAACTTCGATGACAGCTTTTCTGACGATGGAATCGATGAACTACCCCTAGATACCCTCCTAGCTCTCGAGCAGAATGCCTACCAGGCTAACCAGCAGCAACGTCCAGACTCAAGAAACGACAGCGACAATCCCCAGCCAAAACCGAGGAACCCCAACTTCGTTTCTCTGGCGCGCAAATCCAGCTCTCTCTCTGCAAGCCGCAATTCAAGCCGTGGGTCTTTCCTGCAAGACCCTTCGCGGCTCCTGCGCCAGCCATTGAGCTTTGGAGATGAGGATTTCCAAGATCTGGATGCTGGCGTCCTTGACGACGGATATGACCCTGCGCCCGTCGAATTGCAAAATACCGTGTCTGAACTAGGCAGATCACACGGCAGACTACATGCGGAGACGCAACAGGTTGGATTTAGGTCGTACCAACGCGCAAGAGACATTGTGAATGGAAAATGGCGCGCTCTAGGCCGTGGGGTTACTCCTCGTGGCAAATGCCCACCGCGAGGTGTCGCAGGGTTCTGTGGTTATGGGCGGGATGGAGGATAATAATAATAATAATAATAATACAAATGATATGCAAGGAGGGAATGCCGAAGTGGGTCCGCGCCTAGAGGTGTTGGCGGAAATTGAAGCGATGAGGGAGCAGATTGAACAGGTACGGTCATTTTCGTAGCTGCTGTAGCGATGACATCAACCCATTTCTGACGCAGAAAACAGTTATCTCGAGATCGTGAAAGAATCGTACAAGAATTGGCTGCTGCAAATTCAATGATTGAGGCTAAAGCAGGAGAGGCTGCAATAATTCGCGCCAACCAGGCGAAGGCAGCAGAGGCCCATAGCCGCCAGCTGAGCGCATTCCGAAAGCAGATGGCGGATGAACTGAAGAAGTACCAAGCTGAGATCCATTCTATGACCGTACACACCAAGTTACTGGACACTAAAAATGCGTTTTTGGAACAAGACCTGAAGAACGAGACACAAAAGCTGAATGAGCTGCGGAGAGCCAAAGCCAAACTCGAAGAGAACCCTCCACTCACACCGAGAAAGCCCAAGGCGCTACCCCATAGGGACGGATTTGACGATGATGAAATTATACCATCCCCTACCAAGTCTGGTGGTAGGGGATCAAAACGAGGCACTCCTTCAGTGGCTGGTGGTCGAAAACGTAAAGCTATCGATGGTTCTCCCGTCAAAGCTCCGACCTTGGAATTGAGCCAGACCTTTGACACCGTCACGGAAGGCCCTGACGAAAAGACAGAACCTATGGCTATTGACCCAGCACCACGAAAGACCGAAATAGAAGACCGTAATATGCGATTTATGCGAAAAATTCTCAACCATAAGACCCATCCGAACAAAAGTCGAGACTTGGAGGTTTTCACCACAATCTCCTTTCCGTCTGAACCAGGGAAGATGCTTTCATCCTTCATTCTCACAGCCACAACTGAAAATTCCTCGGAAAATTACGCTATCGAATATGCAAAGGTTATAATTTCACTCTGGTCCCGAGCAATAAAGGAAACATTCTATGTTCCAATAGATATGTTCATGGGCATCATCAAATTCATCATCAACCTGGATCCTTCAAACATTGTCCCGCAGCTACTAGACGATCTTATCCCCGTGCTGCAGAACACCGCCTACGTCAACGGAGTCGCCAGGTTCCGCAACTCCCCTGTCTCCCACCTAAATCTCGGGCAGGTCAAGCATACCCCTCAAAACGAGCTGCACCACGAAGTAAGCTCCACTGAAGCCATCAACCTCCTCTACCTCACCGCCAGCAGCTGCCAATACGACTCCGACGCCCTCCGCAAATTCTGGCAAATCATGTCCTACGACTTCATCCTCATAATGCTAAACTCCAGCCAACTAGTTGACGACATAATCATAACCCTCAGCCTCCTCCCCTACAGCATCCTCCCCACAACATTCGGCCCCCTTCTCCGCGATCCAACTCTTCAAGTGCAAAACGAAAACTACATAATCGACCGCGTCGCCAACCTCCTCAGCGAACGCCCCAACACCGACGAGGGCAAGGAGCCCTACACTCCACACCAAATCTCCACCCTCCGCCTCGAAGCCATGTCCTTCCTAACAACCATAGCCTTCTCCTCCCCACACCCATCGCCCTCCCAAAACCGTGCCGGCCGCCTCATAGCCCTGCACCCGACCGCCCTCGCCCGCATCCTCCGCACAATCCACGACGAGCTGGACGCGCTCTACTCCAACCCGCCTGAACGCGAGCTGCATGTTGCACTCGTCAATGGCCTGACGCGACTGGCGTATGGGATCATGCGCACGTTTCGGGACGAGGTGAATCTTGCGGCGAAGCTGCGTGTTGTACCCGGTGCGGTGCAGAAGCATCTTGTTGCACTGACGCGGTTGGCATTTTGTGAAGGGCTGTTGCTTGAGGCTGGGATTGAGGATGATACGGTTGAAATGGCGCATGAGATGCTTGAGGAGTCCGTGAATCCGCAGGAGGCGGAGGCGTTGTTGGAGGCCTTCCGGGTGAAGGGTTCGAAGTAGTCTGGTCTCTCTCTCTCTCTTTTTCTTTTTTTTTTCTATTTATATGTTTATATATATATATATTTGTGTGTGTGTGTGTGTTTTGTCTGTGTTGAGCGGATTTAGCGTTTTGCGTTGACTGATTTCGTTTTCACCTACGGCGTTAAGAATTAAATATATAGTCATGAATGATGGGGTATGGATGTGTGATGAACAGCCATAATTTCATAGTTCAACCTTGTAACATTTCCATTTCTTTTTCATTTAAAGTAGAGTCTGGGTGTCTGGAGCGTGAAAAGCAGATACGGAGAATCATCGAAGTCAGGGGTTCTTCCGTTAAGCTGGAAGTGTGTATAGTGCAGTAAGCTAGTATGGCGCTAAACTTAATGATGTGTAGCCAAACTCTAACGAGGAGCTGCTGTAGCGACATTAGTCAGTAGTGCTTTACAAAATAACAAACCACCCTGACGTCACTGCTGGCGCATTGCACAGCATACATCATACCGAATATCGATTGAAACTTGTAAAATAATAAAATATTTAGGGCAATTATAACTATGTCAAAAGAAAATAATTAGGCACAGGTCCCCATTTCAGTAACCATAAGAGAAAAGAAATAAATGCCACAATGCCGCCTGTGAAGCGGACCAAGAAGTCCTCTTCCACCAAACGACATCTGCAATCCGAACCGGAGGCAATTCAGAAGTCGAAGTCAAAGAATGAATATAACAAAGTCCAAAAACATGAAGATGACACTCCTCCTCTTCCTCCTCCTCCTCCTTCTTCTTTCCCGTCCCCAGCTGCAGCTGCAATCCCCAGCCGCGGATTCGGCCAAGGCTACAACGCCATAAAATCCTTCAAGGGCCAACTATACACCGGCATGTCCATCGGCGCCTCACACACCTGGACCTACCAACCCGGCACCTGGCACGAGACAAAGCAAGAGCCCGACCTCTGGAAGATAGACTACACCGCGACCAAGCGGCGGGCGGGGAAACGGGCAGCTCCGCGCGGCAGCGGCGCCCCCGTCGGCACCGAGTATCACTGGCTCATCGTTGCGCACCAGTATGTCAAGAAGCTGGATGCGAATACGTACGAGACGCGTATGGTGGGGAGTAAGTATAAACTTGCGCATAAGGGGGTTGGGGTGGGGGGGTGGTCGGTGGGGAGCGTGAGGGAGCAGAGGGAGAGGGAAGTGGAGTTGTTGGAGGATGCGGGGAGGAGGGTTAGGGGGTTGCCGCCTGTCAGCAAGGGGGAGAGGGTTAGGGAGGAGATGAGGGAGAGGGGGCAGCAGAGGGTTGATGAGTTTTTTGGGGGTGGGAAGAAGGTGGGGTTAAAGAGGATGCGGGAGGGGCGGGAAGGGGATGGAGATGGGGATGGGGGCGGGGGCGGGGGCGGAGCGGAAGAGGTTGTGATGGGTGATGTAGATGAGGAGGGGTGAATAGGGGGTATGTGGAAGTTAAATTCGAGTGTTTGTTGATGGTCCAAAATAACCTCTGTGTAGCAAAACTATCTCTATATCAATGTATTGAATACTAAGCATTTCCAATCCCAACACGTAACTATAACCCCATACAATTCGCATAATAAGTAACCGTAGCAGGCCAATCCGAAAACAACCCCCTCACTCCCACCTGCCTCGCCAACACATCAATAACATCATAAACATCCCCCTCCCCATCCACCAGCCCGGCCACAGTCGAATAATAATACTCCCTGTCCATCCCAACCCTCTCCAGAGGTCCCGACCTCTCCAACGACCACGCAATCAAACCAAGACCTGCCTGCTCTGCCGCCTTTGCATACGTCGATGGCACTATCCGCCTCGTCCCATTCCCTCTCCCATTCCCACCACCCTTCTCATCCACCGCCAACAACGCAAAGATAGGCGGCCCCATAATCTTCACCCCCTTCTTCGCCAGCGCCGCCATCCCCTTCACGGCCTCCTCGTATCCCTCCAGCGTATCAACGCGCTCATCCAGATATATAGCCTGCCGCGCGAACGCGGGCTCCTTCGCGATCCAATAAAGGATATCATCTGGTAGGAAAGACTGGAGGAAAACGCGAGACGGATCTATGCGGGCCGCACGGTATTCATCCACGAGTTGCTGGGCGTACATTTGCTGCGTGTAATTCTTCTTGATGCCGCCAATGGTGGTCTGGAAGGGCATACGGACCTCGGGGGTTTTCAGTTCCGGGGTGAATTTGAGGCCGAGAGAGTTGACGAGGGCGACGTATTCGGCGTGGGAGCTTAGTTTGGGACAGCCCGGTGTGTAGAGGTTTGTGCGCCAGTCCGGGGTGCCGGATTGGTATTCTTGCGCTGTGGTGGCGTTGGGGTTTGAAGAGTCCATTTTACCGCAGAGGGATTTAAATTCGGAGAGGGTGAGATCGCTCGTGCAGCATTTGGCGGAGGCCTTTGTTTTGCCATCCGCTGAAGCTGGGTGGAAAGGTTTTGTGCACTTTCCTACCAGCGAGGGAATAGTCAGGATGTTAGTGGTCGTGTGCAGGTCACATTGCGAGTGGCGGCAGACGAGCTGGAGGTCCTTTGTAAAAGCGACGTCGCACTCGATGATGCCCGCGCCTTCACGGGCAGCGGCCCGCCAGGACTCGACGGTGTGTTCTGGGAACTGGAGCGGGGCGCCGCGGTGGCTGATGGAGAAGTCTGAGGGGAAATTTCGACGCTCAGAGCAGGATTGCAGCTTGGTTTTGAGGCTGCTTTGGTCCATGCGGTCAACCAGGTAGAAGGGACGGGGACCCAGTTGGATATTGGTGATGGGGCGGCACGGTCTGCCTGGAGCAGCAGCAGCTAGACCAGAGACCAGCGCCGCGACAAAAAGAGTGACTGAAGTGAGATACATAGCTGCAGCCCTGAGACACAAGAGGGGCGTCAAACAAAGCACGCAGGCACCAATTTCATCGTGGTCACAACCCCCATCAATTGGACGGGAATACGGTTGGTTTAATAGATTTCCGTGCCCCGTCCATCGGGTATTCGACTCGGAGGGTGCTGGTACGAAACCAGCCAAACATTGCGCCGGGTTGTAGCACAAGCTTTTCCCCTGCAGCCCGGATGCCACCGTGGACAAGAGGAAATGGAGCAGCAGGGGAAGACCCCCGGGGGGGGGGGGGGAATGCGGCACCTGTCACTGACACTTAAGGGAACAGGGAGCGACCAGCCGTTATTCTCGTAGTTGTTTCTGGCGGGTGCACGTGTCGACGCATGTAGAAGGGGGAGGCTTCATGATTGGAAGAGGAGCAGCCCCCTCCCCACCGTGAGGTGAGACCAGAATCGGGCTTGTCCTCATAGCGTATGAAACGCTGCGGAGAGAAGCCGGGTAATATGAAATGGAACCGGAGTACTTTGCATAGACTTCCGAGAGGCTTGCAATACATTTCGGCCAGACAAGGCGTGGTGAATATGACAAATTCAGAGAGGATTTCCAATACAGCAGCAGTCGTTTTTGAAAATATGCCCGATCGGGAAGAGATGAGGTTACAATCACATCACGTGATACCAAGAGAGCCACAAAACGCTCGGAACACTTCACCACACCAACACAATTGTAGGATAACTACACAGCTCTCCCAGGCTGTTGACACACAGCGAGGAATTCTAGGGTGCTTGTGAGGTGGACGGACGCAGCACATCGAGCCACCCCAAGAGATTTGATCATAGAGAGGAAAAAGGGCTACAGAATCACTTCTCCGTTACCATGGTTTTCAAAAAGGTTGAAGAATCCCTTCTCCGTTACCACGCACAAGGCGCAGTTGGACGATGAAAAGATGAGAGACCCGAGAGATATATAGGAAATATATCCCAGAGGAGCCAAAGAATATGCCTGTCAAAACCCCGAAAGATGTTGAGTGGCCAGGCTCGCCACGATGTGCAATGTAGGAGCCCCTCCACGGCAGACCGCCTTCTTGATCGCGGTTGCCCAAACAAGGTAAGTATGAAGAAGAAAAGAGAAAAAAAAAGAGAATCAAAAAGAAGGGGGGCCCAGGGCGGTATTTATACGGTGCGCCAGACGACGCTAGGGACGCTAACAACGGCGCTAGCCTAAGCGAGTCTGCAGCGAGGGCGGTGATTGGCTGAAGATCTCCTGAAACGAAATGATCGTGATTAGGTAAGGATATGATAATTCGGCTGCGGAAGAATGTTGTTGCTAACTAATAAGCCGCGGCGTGGTTTTTGTAGTTTCTCCGCTAAAGTCCGATACCACGTGACTCCGATCCTGGCAGGAATTTGAAGCGCAAAAGGTGGAAGATTCCAACCCCCCCCCCTCCCCCCGACAGCGAACCAAACATTGATCTACACCGCACGAGATAGAACACGGAGAGACATCCCTGCTTGAGCGAGGAGATAGGGCGAGATTGAGAGAGAGAGAGAGAGAGAGAGAGAGAGAGAGATCTCCCATGGTCTGCCCTCTCCAACACGCCAATTGCTTTTGACCTGGACTGGATATCATTGGCTTTCCGCAACCATGAGGACCAATCCATGGAAGCTCATGAGAGCTGGGAGGAGGCCGGCGGTCAGTGCTTTATTTTAATACTCGCGATTCATATTATGTATATGTCTATGGACGCATGGGCATACTATAAGCTAACCCGCTCCTCTATAGAGACTCCTCCAATCATGGAACAAAGTCAACCTCTACAATCTCAAACACGCAACTCTCCCCGTAACCTCCTCGAAAAACTTCTTCCAGCAGAAATGGCTCGCCAAATCCCTGGCCCGCACATACCACGGCGAGCAAGTCCGTGAGTCGCAATGGGAGAAAATGTTCTGCCGCCGTCTGCGCTCGGTCGTCCCTATGGATGTCAATTACCTGGCTCGAAACGACGGTTCTGCTGAGTCTGCTGGGCGAGGTTCAGGTGTTCAGGAGGCTGGTCCGCGCAAGGCACCGCTTACACCATACATGCAGATGGCGTTTGCGCCTCTGGAGAGGCGGCTGGATGTTGCTATCTTTCGTGCCATGTTTGCCAGCAGTACGAGGCAGGCGAGGCAGTTCGTTTTACACGGCTCTGTTACGGTCAATGGGAAGAAGGTACGGCTTGTTCCTTGTCGACAGATTTTTATCATCAGCTCTCTCATTAAGGAAAAAAATAACTGAACCAAGCCATGTGCAGATGAAACACCCGGGATACCTTTTGAACCCTGGTGACCTTTTCCAAGTGGATCCAGAACGAGTGATGTTTGCTACGGGTGCACCCAAGGATCCTCAACAACGCCGCAGTGGCCGTAGACGGCGCAACCGGAAACCCGCACAGACTCAATCGGAACAGCCTGCTGAAGCAGAAGGCTCTGAAGAGACCAAGGCGGCTGAGGAAACATCTGCCTCTGCAGAAGGAGCTGAAGGACAGACAGAAAACGCAGAAAACGCAGAAAACGCAGAAAATGCAGAGAAATCCAGCCAAGATACCGAACACAAGGAACTATCCCCCGAAGAAGCGCGGACTATACTGACCCGGCTCCTCGCCCAAGCCAAAGATATCATGAACAACAAGGACCTCTCCGCACCCTCCCAAAGACTCAACCTCAATAACTTCCGCAAGGGCGTCCGCAAGGCCCTCTCCAGCACCGTTTCCAGCACCAACATCGTCGAAGACTTCGAAGCCCAATTCCTCCAACTAAAAGCCCTGGCAGAAAAATCCACTTCCCCCTCCTCCTCGTCCCCCCCAGAATCATCAGAACCCCAGTCCCAACCATCTCCTTCCAAACTCCCCGAATCCGTCCTCCCCACACCTCCTTCCTCCCACAACAAAACAACCCCCACCTTCTCCCCTTCAACACCCCAAGACCCAATCCTAACCGCCGCCCTCCGCCAAGCCCTCCAAACCTCCTCCTCCTCCTCCTCCTCCACCACCACTACCATCAACCAACCAACATCCACTACCCACCCCCACATCTCCCCCGAAGACCTCACCATCCTCCGCCAGGCCCTGTCCCAGCTCCACGAGAACCCCATAGACACTCTGAAGCCGTACGCCACCCCCTGGCGGCCGCGCGACTACATGAGCGCCTTCGCGTTCATCCCGCGCTATCTGGAGGTTAACCAGAACATTTGTGCGGCGGTGTATTTGAGGCATCCTGTAGCGAAGCCGGGGAGGTCGGAGGTGCCGTCGCCGTATCCGGATGCGGTTAATGGGGCGGCATTTGCGTGGTATTTGAGGAGGCGGTAAGGGAGGTGTGTATGGTAGGGAGGTAGGGTGGTGGGAAGGGTATGGTAGGGGAGGGGATGTGATTGTGGCTATGGGTGTATATGGGTACAGGAAGAGAAATGGGATGGGGGTGGAAGAGGGGTTGTGATGAACATTTTGTATAGTAGGATATTTTGATTAGGTTTTATTTTTATCTTTGCTGGATTTTTGTCATTCAGTTTATTAATTTTCTTAAGTTGCATTTTTAAGCCCCTATTTTTGATGCATTTCACATATCATAATACGGGGTGGGGCGGTTGATTTCTGTACTTGGAGGCGGGGGGATTCGTTCGTTATTCTCTTTAATTGACAAACACAAAAATTATAGACCTGAAATGAAATGAAATCAACAAATCTAGAATAGGTATTAAGTTAAAATACGGGATAGTTGCTTAAAGCATGTAAAGCACAGCACAGGGTTTGCAGATGTATTCCCTAACTGATAGAAACAATTAGAACGCTTTCAATAATATTTCGAAGAATTAGACTGCATATGCTGTTATGATAATCTAATATCAGAGCAGAGAAGAGAGAAGAACTAAAGGTGTCATTTTTTTTCTTCTAAATCTGAAATGGTGAAAAGGAATCCTGCAGTCATACAGAGTACTGAGTTGGTAACTTTATATATGTCCATGATTAAACCTTCTGCCAACATCTGAAAGAGGGGGATGAGCGGATAATGGGGACTCTTTAGAGGGCACTAAATAAGCATTTCCGAACAGGAAATGAAGAAAAAAACTATTGACAAGCAAGAACAGGGTAAAACAATTTGAATACTCCCTTTAAAGAAAGTGAGCATACTAGGAGCCCCATTTTGAACCGAAATGTGACTTGGAAGTTTCAGAGAGCCATGACGTATTATAATTTCGATAAAATAACTAACTAGAACATATTGAAAGAAAAAGTTGATCAACTGATCGATGGCACAAGCTGAAGGTCATCCTCCTCTTGCCATCCGGGGATTCACAGATGATAAAGGGCGAACATTGTTTCAAAGAACAACTCACATCATGAGAGTTATCGCTGGGATTTTGCAAGTTGTTGATGTTGACATATGATGATGTTGATGATGTTGATGATGTTGTCGATGTTGCTATATACGGCTAACATTTTTGAGTTTAGGTTGGAAGGCGGTGAAGCAGGAAGTGACATAAGCAGCTGCTTGCAAGGCGTTTACGCCGGGCAGTTCAAAAGGTTGTTGGTCTCCCAACGATTCCGGTAAAACAGCCCAGCTCAGCTTCTAAGACCAACATCTGCGATAGCTTCATCTCTCCTCCTCACCCTTTCCATTGCCATTGAGCCTTTGGTCTGCGCTTTACGATGTTTTCCAGAGTGATCCGGGCCCGGCAACTTCCGCCCTTGGGCCGCAAGGGCTTCGTCCCAGCGGTCAGAAGGACTGTCACTACCGATGCCGCCTCCTCGCATGCTGAAGCTGTCCCAGCTGTACAGTGCCCATAACTCCCCGCAACTCTTCCTCTTCCAACTATAAATACTCTTTTGAGAACAGATATCTAATTCTCTACTGTGTTGCACCAGGATGAGAACACACCATTCACAGTCAAGCTCTCCGATGAGAGTTTTGAGACATATGAGCTGGACCCTCCGCCATACACTCTAGAGACCACAAAGAAGGAGTTGAAACAGATGTACCATGATATGGTTTCCATAAGGTAATTGAATTCTATTGCACGAGACCTTACCTTGTTTGCCACAATTTCTTTGTCTTAACACCTTGGGCGCAGACGAATGGAAATGGCTGCGGATCGCCTGTACAAAGAAAAGAAGATTCGGGGCTTCTGTCACTTGTCAACGGGTCAGGAAGCCGTTGCGGTCGGCATTGAACATGCTATTACAAAGGAGGACAAATTAATCACCGCCTACCGTTGCCATGGCTTCGCATATATGCGAGGTGGAACCATAAAGTCGATCATTGGTGAGCTTCTTGGTCGTCGAGAGGGCATTGCCTACGGAAAGGGTGGTTCCATGCACATGTTCGCCAAAAACTTCTTTGGTGGAAACGGTATTGTTGGAGCTCAGGTCCCCGTTGGTGCTGGCCTTGCATTTGCCCAACAATACAATGGGGAAAAGACGACGACCGTCACTCTATACGGTGACGGGGCTTCCAACCAAGGTCAAGTTTTCGAGGCTTTCAACATGGCTAAACTATTGAATCTGCCTTGCATCTTTGGCTGTGAAAGTGAGTTTTGTTTTGGCGTATTTATATCTGAAAATAAAGTATTGATACTAATTTACCCGCTCCTACAGACAACAAATACGGCATGGGTACCTCAGCCAACCGCTCCTCCGCCCTTACCGACTACTACAAGCGCGGTCAGTACATCCCCGGCCTGAAAATCAACGGCATGGATGTTCTCGCCATCAAAGCCGCCGTCCAATACGGTCGCGAATACACTATCGCCGGCCGCGGCCCTCTTGTCTTCGAATACGTAACCTACCGATACGGCGGCCACTCTATGTCCGACCCGGGCACCACATACCGTACCCGTGAGGAGATCCAACGGATGCGAAGCACCAATGACCCCATTGCTGGCCTTAAGCAGAAGCTGCTAGACTGGGGTGTCACGAGCGAGGAGGAGTTGAAGGGCATCGATAAGGACGCTAGGAACTTTGTTGATGCGCAGGTTGCGGAGGCTGAGAAGATGCCTTTCCCGGATGCCACGCCGCGCATCCTGTTTGAGGATACGTATGTTCGTGGTAGTGAGCCTGTGTGGACCCGTGGGCGAACTGTTGATGAGACTTTCTACTATTAAAAGCGCTTAACCTGCGACATGTAGATGCTTCTTTGCTTTCTTCCTTCTTTTGAATTCTTGTGTGTGTTTTTTGTAGCTAGAGGTTTAAACCAAAATGGCAGGGTTTTTTGTGAGGGTAAACAAACCGAGTTGGGAACTTTTCATTTTGTTTTATTTATTCCCTGCTCCTCTTGCGTCCCGAGTTATCCCTGTCGTGCCTCTACATATAGCGAATGCTCTGTACTTTAAATAATCTCCTGACAACAAACATCCGGTCGACGTTCCGTGCTTTCAAATCTCTGCCGAGCACTTCGCAGCTGCCCTTTTTTGGACCTCATACGGCATTGTATATTAATCCAATTCACCCATGTATAATTCATGTACTTGTATCAACTCTGGTAAAAAGACCTACCACTTCAGAACAAGTGTGTTGGAGGGAAAGGTACAGCTGGTCTCTCTATATGTACTCCGTTGGGCTCCTGTGGTCTAGGGGAAATTACTCCCGGAAACCCTGGGAGACTCCAAGGTTCCGACGTGTAAAACCCAAACCATGACAAACGACCATGCAATTTCTAATATCTAAAATACTTACTTTCCAAGGCTTGGGAGTTTAAATTGTGTTGTGTTAGTACAGCAAGTGAGGAGACGGAGGAGGAGAAGAAGAAGAAGAAGAAGAAAACAAGCGGAGCAGACATTCATAAAACCTGGGATAAAAAGCCTTTGCAAATAAATAGATGTCATGAACGAGATATCATGTTAAGTGGGAAAGACACTATCGCATAAAATAAATAAAGAGGTAAATGGTTAAGATGAATGGTATAACCAGAGAAGGGGAGGAAATATAAATTGAAAACTAAAATAGATAACGGTAACAACATATTAAAAGATTTTAAAAAACAAGCTAAGAAATTAAAGAACTATCTGAGACAAGAAAAGACACCTTTAGTTAATCTAATAAATTTAGGAGTAACTAACCAACTAGTTAGTTAATTTAGATATTTTGCATAGTTAAATCCTTTTCATTTTATGCAATTTAGTTACTATATTTTGTATTGGGGCGAGAAATTTTATTTTCATCTCTAAGAGCTTTTTGATAATTATAAATTATTAATTAATTGGAAAATTATATTAATTATATAAATTCTAATAATTCATTATTATAAACGGTTTATTATTATTATTATTATTATTATTATTATTATTATTATTATTATTATTATTATTATTAGTGGTAGTAGTAGTAGTATTTTGATAAGAATTATAATAATTATAAGATATTTTCGAGTAATATTTTAATATTATATTTAAATTGAAGGTAAACTTTACAAGTGAATAGATAAAATATTCTAATCCATTAAATTATAATAATGGCTGATTAAGTGGATTTATTGATAGCGATGGTTCAATTTATTATGATGTAAAGACTATACAAAAACTAGCCAATCCGGAAATCCTTAACGAAGAAGCTAAGGAGACAATAGAAATTGAGCCGCGGAATATTTCATGAGATGAGAGACGCATTCCGCGCCTTTACCACATTTAATTTATTATATAGTGAAACCCAGGAAATGGGCGTTGATGTTGGAGTGAAGTATTCCCTACCGTGATGTTAAAACCTATGAGAGAATCGTTGCCATTTGGGAGAGAGAAGTCCTGTGCAAATCTCACTGCAGTGACAGGTTCACGGTTCTAGCGGTTCTGAGAGAAAGACAGAGATAAAGTAGGGAGAAGAGGGAAAAATTCCCGTTTAATGCTGAAGTGGATATATGCATTCGAGACGCACTTTACATTTCTCATCGTGAACTAGGCATGATATGGAAAAAATTTAGGTAGAGTTATATGAGAGAAAAAAGATGATGAGGGGAAGGAAAAGATATCACATATAAGATGGGGATAGTTGAGTATAACAGAAATGGTAAAGGGGATAATAATGGATAGAACTAATCCTCAAGCAAGCAAAAATGGGAGCAAAAGTAAACATAAATAAAATATAAACTGAAAGAGTGTCATAACAGTCATGAAATCCCCTAATTTCCCATATATATTCCTACCCTCAACTAACTAGCCCTCTATCCATAACTTCCCCCTCCCTCCCGATTCGTATCCCAAATACAAGGGATAAAAGAGAGTGGAAGTGCGGCGACTGATATCATCTCAAAAATAGAAGTTACTGTGGCTCTTGCCGTAACAAATCCAGAATCATCTCCTGCGTCTTCTGCACCGAGTCCAATTTCTCTTCAAGCTGTGCGCGATCTTTCTGGATCTCCTGGCGGAGCTCCGCACGCAACTCAGACTTTAATTGGTGGAGTGTCGACGCTGGTATTTGATTCTGTTGGATTTGGCCAGGGCGTGAGGTGTGGCCATGGCCGTGACTATGGGCCGGGTGATTATGGTTGGTGACGGCAGAGTTCGGAGAGTGTTTTTGTTGGTGTGGTGGTAGGATAGCGTGAGGGTGTGCTGCGGCTGCGGCTGCAGCTGCAGCTGCTAGGGACATGGCGTTCGATGAGTGGTTGCGAGAAGACACTGCTTCGAGGTTTTTGTTCAATTTTGATAAGGTTTCTAATATTGCGGCTCCCACAGCTGATTCTGTTGCTGTGGATGATGTGCCTGCTGTTATGATTGCTTGCGAGGCGGAAACCGGTGCTTGCGGGACGGATGTTTGAACTGGAACCGACGCGGAGGTATGTTTCTGCTGTTGCTGCTGCTGCCGTTGTTGATGGGTTGGTGTGAGCAAAGATTCCGTTGTTGAAGGAGTAGGAGGGGGATCGGAGGTAACAGGTATAGAAACAGGAGCCTCTATTCGAGTTGCCTTGGCTGATTTCGATGACGAAGGAAACATCGTATCAAATCCAGGCGGCAGCATATGCTGGTACCCCATGGCCACCCCATCTGCATCAACTACTGATTTCCTCTTCCGGCCTCTCTTACCCTGCTTGGCATGAATGCGCTCATTCTCCTGTTCCTGAAACCGCTTCCAGGATGGAATCCAGGAATCGACGGCAGCACTCCATGCCGCATCCGCCTGATCATCGCCCCGCTTCCCATCCAATCCCTCCAAGAATTTGATCCGCTGTTGCGTTACGAGCTCCACCTTTCGCCTTACGCTATGCCACGAATACGGATGGCCCTCTGATGCGGTGAATTCTTGCGTCACGTTCAACCACCATTCACAGAGGCGGTTGCGCTCGCCAAATGAGGCCGCGTGCCTGTTGCAAATTTCAAATAGCGCTGTCTCCTCGCGTGTCGTTAGCCGTTTACCATGTTTCCGTGGAGTCTCACTTTCGAGAAGTGTTAGATCAACACCCCGTCCAGGCCCTACACGTCCCGTTTGCCGCGATGCTGCTCCTCCATCTATATCAACGTCATCAGAGCTGGGTTCCGGACCCGGGGCCGGATGATCATATGCAGGTTCGGGAGCTAGATCGACACCGTTGTCCGGGACGACAGTCTCGCGTATGCTGGGACTTTCAGATAGTGAGTTGTCAGTGGATGCGGGGGTTTGTAGGACAGCTGCATCATGTTGGGCGGTGGGTACGTAGTTATTAGTTGGACGTAGGGCGGAAATGGGCGGAAGGGTATTGGGGAGCGGCCTCGGAAGCGGAGGGCCGGTAGGGAGCCATTGGAGAGAACTGTGATGGGTCTGCTGCTGCTGCTGGTGATGGTGGTGCTGATGCTGATGATGGTGGTGCTGTCTGGCAGAGACGGGAGTTCCTTGAGGCGGAGGTTCGACGCTGGTGTGCCAGTTAAACATTTGTTCGGGGGTTGGGGGGGGAGGCAGTGTCTTCTCTATTTCCCCTTTCCGTCGTGTGTTTATATCTCTGGTCCTTCCAAAGTAAAACCGCCTACAACAGCAGACGTGTTTCTCCTTTCCCCACTTCCTCTTTGTCTCCTCTTTTCCGCTCTTCGTTGCAGCAATGACCCCACAATGAGGCCTCCCTCTCCGCCTTTGTTTGTCGGCCGTTTAGAAATATCTTCCCGGTCAACAATGCGGCACGTTCCGCGTTTCCCGTTCTCGCTAGTTTCCGGTTTATCCTTCTTTTTTCCCCTTTATTGGTTTTTGCGCTGGTTTCGGTTTTGAAAAATTCAGCGACAAAAATAAGAAAGGGGTAACGTAATCAACAACGGGGTAAAATCACTGCAATACATGGAAAGATGAACATAAACTGGAAAAATAAAAACAATGATCTGAAAATTTCACATCAGAGCTTAAGTTTAAAAAACGGAAAAGGAAAAATGAAAATAGCAAAATAAAATCAAAAAGTTTTCAAAAATCAGCCTCCAAATGCGGGGGAGAGCTAGTCCCGATTAGGTCTCCTCATAACTTCTTAAATAAGCCGAGTAAGCAGTAACGTAATCGATAAGCAAGTCGGCCACATGAGCGAGTCGGCCATTTTCCTCCCCACTGTACAACAAGAATGCCTTCAAAGTCTCAACTATAAAGAAAAACTAGCAAATTACATTATAAATTATTTCCTATATGCTTAGAGCATGTATGGGCAGTATGCTCAATAATCCCACATACACTACACTGTGGTGCTGCACATTTTTGTGGTCATGACTCAGCAGCCTCAACTACCCCCTGCTCCCATTCATTGACCCTTCATATGTGATTCAAGTCTTCTTCAATCCTCAAAGCACCCTCTTGAGCTACATACATACAGCCTCTTTCTTGCTTCTTCTTTTGTTTGGCATTTGCAGTCCTTAACTCCCTGTTTTCAGCTGCTAGAATAGCAGCACTGTGCATTGTCATTTGACACCCCTTGACCAGCTGACTTAGGGCATGATTGATTGGACTGGGTGGGCTCTGCATACAGTGCTTGATATATCCTTTAACTTTCTCAGCCTGCTGCTCCAATTGGTGTATATTATGCAGTGTGACTGTGGCCCAGGAGGCCTGGGAGCTGTGGGAGATCCCTGGGGGTGTGGGGATATGCATCATGGTATTAAGCTGTGAGAGAATCTGCTCAGGATTGTATGGAACCAGCTCAGCAGCCCTAAAGCTGCTCTTGATGTTGCTCTCAGTCAGGGCCTGCATCTGAGCTGCAGGATAGAGACCCAAAAACTCCTCCTTGTCAATATGATTGATCCCAAGCCACATCTGGTTTTCCACCTGCTGTCTGTATGCAGTTTTCAGGGGCGAGAAGCAGCCAACATCCAATGGCTGAAGAAGATGGGAGGAATGTGGTGGCATGTAGAGGACAATGATCTGATTCTCAGTGCAAAATTGATCAAATCCAGCTGAGGCATGGCTTCAGTGCCAGTCTAGAATCAACAGTTGATATCTGACCTTCATACAGGGTAGAGTCTCCTTGTTGAACACCTCTTTCAGCCAGTATAAGCCCAGCTGGTCAGTGGTCCAGCCATTCTCACTGACTCCAATCACCCAGTCGTGTGGTAGTCCTTCTGTCTTGTACCAGCAGGATTGATGCATCTTTCCTTTGAGGATAATCATCATATGCAAGGCTCAGCCAGTTGCATTGACTCCAGCAATAACAGTCACTCATTTCTGATCTCCAGGCTGTACAAGCTTGGGATTCCCAGCTCTTTCAGATCCAGTCACCACCCTGGCAGTCCCAATTACACCCATCTGAAACCCAGTCTCATCAAAGTTGTAGATATCATCTTCCAGGATCCCATACTTCACAATAGTGTTTCATATGAGCCTAAACCACCCATGGATAACCTCAGGATCCTCACATAAGGCCCACTGATGATCATACTTGCGTGAGAACTTGGATTTCAGCTCATCATGATGCTTGACAAAGTTTCATACCCAGCATTCACTCACTGTGAGTGAGGGGTTGAATCCTTGGCTGACAAGAAGAAGGTTGGCCATTTCTTGTACAGCTGCAACCTGGGGAGGCTGACCTCATTCATTCATGGTCAGAATCCATTGAACAAGAGATTCTTCCTCTGTAAGACTAAGTTTCTGGTTCTTTGAGGGAGTGTTAACGCGTGCTGTATGACCATGTACCCAATCACCTAGGGTGGAACATGGAACATCATACAGCTTTGCTGCAGCTTGTACATTTGAAATTTGATCATTTTTAAATGCTTGAATGGCTAAAAGAAGCCTTCCTTCCTGAGTAGAGGCTTTATTTCTTTGTGTGGTTGACATTTTTGATGATGAAGATGTTGTTCTGGGATGAGATGAAAAGTGGCCAACTTGCTTATGTGGCCGACTCGCTTATCAATTACGTTAATGTTCCTGTACGCCAGATTACGCAGGAATCGTGTATTTATGGAGTCTGCCGGTGGTAAATTTTGCAAGTTTGGTATTTTGATATACAGAGCGGCATGCATCCTTCAAGGGAGGGAACAAACGAACTATCAACCCAACCACCGACTGACATCCATGGGAACATCAGCCCGTAACACCAACGTCCATTGGGCACGGTCAAGTTCTTAGGGGGTGATTGAATCTAGACACTGGCTCCATTCAACTACATATATCGTGGGTTACATTTTTAAACCCTCATGAGCAAGATGGCGTAACACGAGGCGGGTTTCCTTCGCGGGGTGCCCAAACAATACACCCAACATAACACATTTATTTACTGATGACCCAATAACAGGTAGGGACAAGACAACCTATCAAGGCAACCCTTTACCACCTTACAATACTGCGCCTCAATCTCACAATATAAGATTGCTGTCGCTGTCCTCAGACCTTTTTCTCATGTCTCTCTTTTATTTTTCATATCTTAATTGCAATGGTTGGAACCACCACAGGGAGAGTACTGTGATAGAACGCCCCTGTTTTTCGGGTAGCACCGCAATGTCGGGACATCTCAATGAAAGTCAGATCCTCACAATCTACAAAGAGGCAATCAAGAAGTATGAGGAGACCACGAAAAAGACTCTGGATGATCCAGCTCTACTTTCTAAGAATGGCCTCTGTAGATGATCTCCGGAACGCAATTGACAAGGAAAACTCCAAATCCCGCGATTTCGTGGAGAAGAAGCATCGCTTTTTGAATGTCCTAGAGTCAGCAATCAAGCCCGTGGAGTGCGTTGGGCCCCTCCTGGCAAGTACAGTCTCGATGGCCTTCTCTCTCCTCCCTCGTGTTTGCGTCACTTGATTAGTTCTGCAAAGTGGGTTTCCTCGTCTTATGATGCTATCCAGGAGTTGTTGGGGACACTGGAGGTATTTAAAACTGTTGGTACCACTTCTTGATAATAAAGAGAAGGAAAGGAGAAACATGCAATTCGAAATTGTCAAAAATGGCATATTTTACTAAAACTTCGAAACAACACGAACGCTTTCAGACATTACAATTCGCCTTCGGGTATATACCGAAGAATCGATGTTGGTAGAATTGAGAACCCAACGAAACGTCATTCTTGCAGCGCTGATCGCTATCTTTGCTTTCTCGAGGAAGTCCATCGAAAAAAGCCAGATTTGCCAAGTTTTGGAGAAATGACACTGCTCCATGGCGATGAAAAAGTCCATGATGCTGTTGATCGACTCGCTATTCTTATTGAAACTGAGAATCGCCTCGTTGGCGCGGACTCATTAACGCAATCTAAAAGGACAGGCCGCACAGTCGACAACGTTACACATACTGTCGCTAGCACTAGCACTTCAGTTTCTAATGTCGATCTTGGAGTATCGGAACTGAATAAGAAAGTTGATGTTCTGATGAAGGCTGATCAGCTACAGAACGGATTTGGAAGTGGCGTGCACCTGAGCAATCAATCCCCACATCAACGAGGTTCTTGAGTCTTCAGTGACTGCCTACGATTGGTCTGATAAGATCAACTGAACTCGGGTTAAACAAATCGGATTAGAACTGAACTTCATTTTAAATCATGAGTCAAAAAAGCTTTTTCGCGTTGATATGAGTTACGGTTAATCCTGGAGCTGGGAAGTTCTATATGGCACTCAATATCATATCGTTCCTCAAAAACTTGCATCCAAGAGGAGCCCAGCCGCCACCTGAAGTCTATGTTGTTTATATCTGACAACTACCCCTCAACGAGGCCATTCCACCAAGTACTCCACGATTTGGCCTTCCAAATTAGTGAAGATGACCCATACTATGTCAAACACATTATGGCAACATGTATGTCACAGGATGACATCTCACCGCTGGAAAGAATCTGGCGCACTCTTTTCGTCAATATTTTTGTGAAGGAAGCCAGTGTGAAGAGTAATATTTATCTCGTTTTCGATGTTGTCGATGAGGTGTATGGATATGAGATGTAGTCGATGATCAATATCATGAAAGATATTAACCAGGGTAGGTCAGCTCTCTATCTCTTCGAGTTTGTTAACATACTGAAGGTGTTTTGAAAGCTAGAGTTGTAAATTTAATACTGACTCTTCTCAGTGCACCTGTCTTCCCGTGTGCAAATAGTCATGCTTGGTAGACCCCAACCTACGGACCCCATTTCTGAAGCTCTTGAAATGGACGTACCCACGATTCTCGTAGTGGAAGATAAGAACTCAGCCGATATCATTTTAGCAATCTCAAGTCGAGTTCTGAGAGCTGTGTCACCAGAACTACGAACTGAAATCGTTTCGACACTTTCAGAGAGGGCCAAGGAACGCTTCTGTTGGTTGACCCTATGCTCAAAGAGCTGTTGAACAAAACGTTGCGAATCAACTATTCGCAAATGCTTGGTCCAGGCCCCAAGAAGGTTGAATGAAATGCTTAATCATATCCTTGAAAGCTTTTCGTCCACTTTCGTCAGCGAGGAAGCAGAGAATTTGAACGAACTCCTGGCACGGGTGACTTGTTCACGGCGCCTCCTAATGCCTACTGAGCCCGGTGTGGTTTTACGGTTGAAATCTCTAGGTGGAGACGGTATAATGAGTCTTGAGGATGCACTTCGAACACAATTCGCTTCCTTTTTTTCAGTCCTACTCGGAAAGATGCCCTTATGACAACGGACCGTTCAAGCAAAATCGTCCCTGTTAACGCGGATAGTAATGATGAGAGCGAAGAGAAGCATGAGGAATTTTTTTGAGGACATTGCAGATACAAAAATATTCTCCTGAGATTCACTGATAACCAAAGTTACCTTTTACCACGTCTTTATTTTCCGGTGACACGAAGCAAGGCAAGTTTTCAGTGGACTATGGGCATCTAAGCATCGGAGTTTAAGTTCAGTGAAGCCAGATTTATTGTTATTATAACATGCCTTGAGTTAGTATGTGATTATTACGAAAGTTCGGACCCGATAGAGACTGCGATATCTCGGGATTTTATGTGATGCACCACTCCCAGGACCATATCCACGCGATTACTTCTTCAGAGTTGACGATATCACAGAGGCTGGATATTGCGGATTTATTAGCCAAAACGTTGAGCCGAGAGAATGCTCTGAAAACCTATGCTAATGTGGTCGATAAGCACTTTTTCTCTCACCAGAACTAGAGCTTTATGAGAAACTGGATGGGTGATGAAAACGGGGTGAATTGCTTGACACCTGAGAGTCGACATTTCATTGAATCGACAGTTGAATCACTTGCCACATTATTCAAATCCATTGCTATCCAAATTGGGAGATTGGCTTTCTCAGCCTTCGATCATGGCTTTAATTTTCCACAGCAGGTCCAAAGGTATATCTGTCTTTAGCAACAAGAATTTTTTAAGCCGGAAGTCGACGACTATTCCACAACTGAGATAATTGCTGCTGCCAATTGGCTATATTTGGAGAGAAGTTGCTTCTGGTATGGTCTTGTCGGGGTCTTTAAAGGCATAGGTAAGTTGGGACGATGCTGTGGATTATCTTCGCAGAGCAGTTTGTTGTGTCCAGCAAACTGGGAGTCTCTTGTGGGAGCCAGAGATGCTTTTCACGAACAATCTCTGCATTCCTTATCGCTACAGCCACCGAGCGATACTTGACCAGGGGGAGAGCGATGCAAAAACCTTAGGGTATCTTGAATTTCACAGACTACAAGAACCCTGGCAGGGTGTTACGAGGCTTCGGGAGATCAGCAAAATGCGTTCTAATGGTATCAAAGCAGCCAGATGTGGGGGTTCCTGCTGTAGAACATTCTCCAACTATGACTGCATCTATGTTTGCAAGTACTGTTGCTGGGTACTGCTGTTCTTGAATTGCCATACCATGGTGACAAACGGTGCGCTGCATTCGGTGCAGGCCAATGCATCACTTGTTCTACGCTGCCCGCGGCCGCAAAATCAGGAGTATGGAAAGTTTCTGGTGAAGGGCGTTTCAATGGTGAGGCAGAGTTTAAGGGTATGTTGAAGCAGAAATGGGATTTTTAATTTCTAAGTAATTAATTCTCTTATTATATTGACAGAATATCCTTTCATCCTATTTGATGTCATTTTTGGGTGAGACAGTAAGTGGGAGATGATACGTATACTTAAGACATTATACTCAATCATGTGCTACTCCATACACGAATGTCTAATGGTCTCTGACATCCTTTTTGATAATGATGTTAGCCCTGTGTATAGAACTAATGCTGCTCCGAATATGATCAACTCTCTCTAATGACTTTAAAAGCGTTGATTTTTCTATTTCAGTATGCATTTTATATGCTATATCAATAAGCATATTTTTGGTAGGTTCTATGCAGCCAGAATGTTTTTCTCTTTCTGCTTTACCAAAAAGTGTTGGCTTATGGGTGTGTGCATTTACACCTCATGACATATGGCACCAAACCTGCTCACCTAAAACGGGGAATAATAAACCAAAATAGGCTTGTAACTTGGCATCTAACAGCTTCCTTGACACGGAGGATATTGCGTCTTCCCTCCTAGCAAAGGCATGTTTTCAATAGGCCTAAGCGGCGCGGTCCGTCCCGTCACAGCAGGTTGGCCTGTAACGACTAGGGCGACAAGCATGTAAAGGGACCCTGAAGAAACAGCGGTCTATTCGTATACCTAGCCTGGCCCGTACGAGACGATTGCTCCCCATATGTTACAGCATCTTCATGTGCACATGTATCTGTTCCAATGTTGGGTTCGATCGGGGGAGCAGTGGTTGATCATGGATTCAAGAAAAGAAGGTTTAAAACGAAGCATCAAAATTTTACACTTAGAACTCTAAATGCAAGGAAAAATGCACTATACAGAGTGTAGTTTTACTGGAAATCTTGCCTTTTCTCCTGACCATGTCCCGAGCTCTGACGGTCCTGTGCAATCATCAATGCAAAGCTGGATTCCATTTGCATGAAATCACAAGATGGATGTGACTGGTCGGCAGTCAACTCGAAAGAAACGAACATTATTCTCCACCGAAAACTTCAGAGTCTCAGCGGAGTATCAGCCAGTGAAACGGTCATCAGACTCACACAATGAAAGAGCCCTTCTGCTCTGTTTCAAAATAGCCAGTTTGTTGGACCTCGGGAGCTGATGATCATCTTGAATTCGTCCAGCCTTAAACGATGCTGTGTCGGGTCACAGAATATGTTGCCCAAGCGATCTCCGTTACTTCACCAAGTACAGATAGATAATTGACAGGTCATCAACTCTCTTCGTCCCTTGTAAAATCAAAATGGCAAAACATCGGAAGATGATTGAATTGTTAAACCAAAAGGTGATTTGCATCCTTGGTTGTTTTGATGCGCAATGCGTAAGAAAATTCTGTGCCTTCATTGAGATATCTTCCCTTAGATATCGGCCTGGGAGGAAAGCACCAGGCATAGTGGGGTCAGGACACGGCAAAGTGCTCCTTAGATCAGCGGTTTCATTGAGCCCTGACTCAATACTATTTTTCCTCCTCAGGATACAAAGATGCGACATTCTCTGCTCCTTATTTGCTGGAACACACTCTTGTCCTGCAGGGACTAACAAAAATACGGGTTTTGGCGCACCGAGTCCATGTTATCATAATCTCACATGCATCTCACCGACATAATCAGACGGTCAGAGTACGGAGAAGAAAACTCTGGTTGATTAACCCGTAGGAGGCGTCGAAGGTTCCAATGAGGAATATCCATGGATAGGGATAGAATGGCGTTGGCGTTGGTAGCTATCTTTTGAAACGTGGAGGAAGATACAACAATTTTGATATATCTTGAAGAGGCTGATGGAAAGAGAATTCCGGATATGGCGGTTTTTCTTTTCCTTGTTCCCCACCCTTTCTTTGGTTTTTACTTTGCTTCATAACTAGAGCGGAGAATTTGGGAAAAGTGGCAATCCCGAGAAGCTTTTTCCTGGAAACGACGCCTGCATTAAACAGTCAGCCTGGTATCCGAGGTGCATTCGTTTGTTTTTATTGATTTTGCATACAATTGAAATGCATGGTGTCGTAAAAAGCAAAAAATTTCCTCCAATGGACACTTGGTAGGAGGCCACAATTGTTCCTGACGCTGTTTATTGCTGGTATTTGTTCTCGAATGATCTTGAACAGGCGAAAAAAGCCAACGATGCTGGTCATTCGTTAGCGCATCCTGTGAATACGTGGGTATTGATCCAATGGGAAAAAGGGTGCAAACGGGTAAGTCGAGGAGCTATTGAATTTCGACGGGCGCTCTCAAATAGGGACTCTGAGAACGCAGGAGACGTTCTCGTATCGAATGACGGAGTTCCTTGAAATAGAATCAGTTGGAATAATGAAAATGATCTCGAATAGGGCAACAAAAGAGAGGAAAGAAAATGGCCATCACGTATAAACACTAATAATAAGCAGTTAACGGCTCTCTTCATTGGATATTTAACAAATGCTTCAAGAAGAATTAAAATCAGATGCCATTCTATTCATTGCATTGTATCTCATTAGCTACCAGAAGAAATAGCGGTTCTGACTTATGACGAAGTTATTTCCCCTTTCTCAACCTCACTAAAGATGCCCAACAATCAGCAGCCTCCAACAACGGTGTGAATGGAAGCAGCACACCTTGATGAAGTTCTTCTGCACTCAACAATCCATGGGAAGTACTGCAGAGAGAAAAGCTGTCAGAAAATAGTTTAGATGTGATCATCCTCATGTGCAATGGATCAGCAATTCAATGGACCACACCATTGTCCATCCTGTGATCATCCACCATACACCACAACATTATTTTTTTGTTTATTTTTAGTTTTATTTCTTTTGACTTCTTGGATGGTGTGTTGAGTTCACTGATTTCAAATTATCCAGCCTGCAGGTTGAAGCCTAATTATTTGCCAACAACGCCGGGCTTGCATCCATCGTGCATATATGTACTAGACGCCTCGAGAACCATTGGGCAAAGAGGCGAAAGGAAAAATGACCACGACGGTGGATCTGGACATGCTGACTTTGTTGTTCCCATCTTAACACCATACATCATGTGGAAAGGTTGTGTGGAGTTGTCCTTCCAGCCAAAACTATCTTTTAGTGAATGCATGGGGCGGTTTGAAACGCCGATCGATTGCTTGGTTGTCTTCCTTTTAGAGTTGAGCCACACTGGCGCCACTAAAAGGACTGCGGGGAATTAGCCTTCAGCAAGGGCAGACAACCTAACGACCAGGTAAGGTTTCCATTTGCCTCGATATTCGGTCAGGCCTTGAGGCTGGAGAATCACGATTGAATTGGTTGATGGTTGCCTTCTCCCTAGTAGTAGGGCAATCCTGCTTGCGAGTTGGGTGTTTAGTTGTGGCTAGCGTTGACTATGGATCGAGTCGGTTTCGATAGCTATGCATCGCATCAAGGTTGGATGGTGAGGACGAGGGTGGGACAGGGATGTTAAGTGAAGACCCCTTTTTTTCATACCCTTCTAGATGGTGAACGGCGCGGGATGGAGACATCCACCCAACTTTTTCGTCGAAGCAATTGAGATAGGAACAGGGCAAGATCCTCCAGCCATAGTACATTATAGTACAGTACAAACGTCCATTCGCTTCCGGCTCTCTACCCCGTGTACTGAATGTGCATATCCTACCAGGTTAGACATGTAAATACCCCAGAGATACACACCTTACATACCTCCAACGCACATATCTACATATCACCACATTCTCACCAACCCTTTTCACCTCGATTTTCATTCCCCAAATAGGCAGTTGGGGATGAATATGTCACTCAGTGTGGGCAACATCTAGTGAGGGCTAGTGGCTGCGTATCAAATACCAAGTCATGGTGACGATAGGGTATGGAGCTCTGAGGCTGAAGGAAAGAATGAGGAATCCCGTCCCTTTCTGTAACCGGAGTAATTGTTAGAACTTGGCATTGGGAATTCTGCTTTTTCTGTCAATTTTTCTCTCTGAATTTGATCATGAAATCGGCTTGTTTTGAGAATTCTTTCTTTGGCCAACGAGGCATTTCAAGATCCTCTCCTCTTTTCTGTGCAATATTTGAAACTTGAAGCTCACAAGTATACGGAGAAGTCGGCGGGAGGATATGATGAAAAGCTATTCGTCTTCGAGCCTTCAGAGACAGAAATTGAGTTCGTATCTTTCATGAGACGACACGTGGGACTCCGCTTGAGTGGAGCGATCAGCGGACGGATCCGCCTCGGGTCTAGAAGTCAGTGAATAAGTTATCACTGGCCGTAACAGTTTGGCCACGATTGTAAATATCAACTTACAAGTTTCCAACCAACCTTCAGTCCAACACCGGTATCACACAATCTCGTTGATTTTAGGGCTGTGCGCTTGTTCTAGGGCAGAGACATATGTCTGATTAACGAGAGCAGGACTCAATATCAGTGGCAGCCTCTACTGCCTTACGGTGTGGCGACATCCCAAAACTCCAGTTGACGACAAAAAGGCAAATGGAGACTTGATAGGTGATGAAGTATATGGTCTCTAGCTTCCCTGAGTCCGGTTTGCTGATGTTGCCTAGATATGGGTGTGGTTACAGAGTCAGACTTGTCACATCTGACCTCTTCCCCCGTTGATGCGATGCTGATCTTGATGAAGAGAAGACATTGGACATGCGCAGAGTTTATGATGAGCGATAGGCGGGCCCCATGTTATGCAGTAGTATCATAGGAGGGAATATTTGTTGGGCACTGATATCGACCTTTTCCATGTGGTGACCACCCCGTAAGCGACCTACGTATGCCCAGTACAGTGGAAATCGTTGATAGACATGAATGGAAAAGAAGTGTATATTCTCCATAACTTCAGCTTGAGATACAGGTACAGCATCAAGTCGAAAGTTCAAGCTGCGAGCTCTCAAAAAGTTCAGGCTTTCTCAGCTCATTCGCCCCTCCTCATCACCCGCTGCGGCCATCCTGAGCTCCCGGATATATTTTTGGACATACGGCATATCCAACTTACCCGCTGTGATGACGGCCCGGAACAGAGATCTCGAAGCTCCGGCAACTGGAGCTGCGTACCAGCAGCTCGGAACGCAGTTTACTGACCAATCCCAGGGGTAATCCTGATAAAAATAGAAATAAACAATAAAAATCACAATTGTAACATATCAGATTCTGCACGTTCGGATACGTGGTCAAAGTTGTGATTATGATGCAGGGCGGGGATCGCTTGCATGTGTCAAAATCCCACTCTGCGGGAAACCGTGTCGTCGTTTTTAACTATCCCTTTCTGACTGATCCGATTTTTAACTACTCAATACGCGGCCAGATTTTCAATATCGCCGGCCAGCTGGCTGCCTATCACCCGATTCCTGCAAGGAACGGAAGAGTTATGTAACCCCCGAAAAACCATTCCAGGTGCACAGCTGTAGGTAGTTATCCGGGGGCCTGTCAAGTCGCTGTCAACGCAAGTTTCATCCCAGCTGACCCCCAGCTACACCAAAGAGGTTCCCCGTTCAAGCCAATATTCAGTCCCCTGTTCTGATCGACATGCTCGTACTTATCAAAACAGCAGCAAACAAAACCCATTTGGCGTCTTCATCCTCGCCCCCGCCATTATCAGTTATTTAGCGAGGGACGGAACAAACCTGTCAAAAAAACCTTCGACATGCATTGCAGGCGTGCACACGCCATGTAAATAACTTATCCATGGATCGAATCACAAATAGCTTCAGGTTAAGGATCAGCCTATCTATCTTCAAACACTCATGTGGCATACTTGGCTGCAAAAATATATGTATCGGACCTCAGCTTTTTACCCCATAGGAGTATCCATGCTCGTCGCCTCCCCACGCAGATGGCCCACAGTGGCCGCGACAACCTTTGTGCCCAGTTCCATCTCAAAACTCGACCATCTTGTCGATGACTGTGACAGATCAAACAAAAACGCAGTTTATTTAATTTAATTTTATTTAAAAAAAAAAAAAATAAACTTTCCCTTATGGACACATCTACATACCCCCCCCCCCATCGACAAACCCAACCAAACCCTCCTTTCCACCCACCATCTTCTAGCCGGGAGCAAAGCCTCGACAACTGATCCCCCAAGTTCCCCTAAACCCATACCAAAAGGTCAAGGACATCAAGTGCACTGCACCTGAACTAAGCCACCCCGCGGCCGCTACTCTGTGCACGGCTGCAGACCCTGAATGCTAATGTGATGCACAGGACATGTTGCCGACGGACCGCATATGTCCCCCCCCCGGGAATCTGAATGCTGTCCTAAGTTTCAAGCTGGCTTTAGGGGGGGCAACAGGTTGCGTGACTTCTGGGTTATAGATTTAGATTTACTGGATGTTCCACACACACACATAAAAAAAAAAAAAAGAAAAGAAAAGAAAGAAAGAGAAGAAAAAAAAAGTGGGGGGTGGGGAGTGGGGAATTTAAGCAAAACCTTTCCTAGTGCTGAATTCAACATATGAGAACTCTGTACGCAATTTTGGCACATGCTGTCCCTCAGGATCTCCAGTGGCTCCTGACGACCCTATCTGGGTATGTATAGCATCTACCTAGCTAGGCAGTTGGGTAGGCTACCTACATGGATTACATTAAATGGGATAACCTCAAGATATGGTATTTTCAGCTGTTTGGCGTGGTTTGTGGGATAGATAGTTCCCCCCCACCCCACCCCGGGAACCCGAGAATTCATGAATGTTTGCATTTTTGCATTTATCACTCGAAAGCAACGCTTAGAATACGGGGGGAAGGAGGGGGGGAAATACCTAGACTAGTTTTTGTAAATTGAAAGCGAAGAAAATGTAAAACTTTAGAATGATTTGATTGAATCACCCTTGGGCCATGTGCGTGCGAGTTCCGTCCCCCCCTCTCGTTATCCATTTAGGACCCCTGCAGTTAGATTTACCGGGCTGGGATCTTCATGTGCAATCCTCTGCATATTTCACCCTGAAGATATCCATTCGGAACAATTTGCAATTTGCTTCTCAGGTGAGGTTTGCAGAGCGCTGTGAGCTGTCTAAATAAATATCCGTGAAAGAATGTAACTACCTTGGGCAGCTATTCCGGATAATCAGCAACAACAATAGCCAGCAGCAGCATCAGGGCCGTCAATTCTTCAAGGATGCGGCGGGCTGGTGATAGTTGGCTGATGGGTGCAAATGTCTCTCCCTCTCAAATTCTCGACGACGTCAGGTCCATATCAGGATCGTCACTTGCCGAGTGATCAGCGGCTAATCTTTTTTTAATTTATTTTTTATTTTTTTTTTCTCACTTGACAAGAACAACTAATAGCCAATGGGCAATCTTTGCAGGCTCCGTTGACAGTCGGAAGTTACCCGAGTTGGGTCTTGAAGTTGGAGGTTGAAGCGATCATCACCTGTAACCTAGTTATTGAAACGACGAATTATCATCCCCATCTTTACTCCATAACTACCTAAGTTGTTACTCCCGGAACTGAAAATAGAGACACACAGATATTGCAGGCATTTCCCCGAATCCGTTCCTATTCTCGTAGACGATCAACTATCGTCAATGCTCAGTTTTGCAGTACGAAGCAGATGCACGATCCGCTTCACGGCTCTGTTTAACCAGGCCAGGGACACATGGCAAGATACTTTAAGGGCAAAGGGGCTCTACGGGTTTCAAGGGTTCAGTGACTTTTCAGTCGTGAAACAAAAGCGTCATCCACTGCCGCGTTCAGTGTCGTATTCATGTCCATGTCCCGTGTCCCGTGTGTTATTCTGAGGTTCTGCGCTTCCCATAACTAAAGCCTACAACTTTATCCAGCTCGTTCGTTTCCCCCTAATTACCTGATTTTCCAAAGGTTGTTGAAATCCCATCCGTTTCAGCGCAACGGGGAAGAATTGGATACATCCATTTTCCAGACGGGGATCTATCTACGACGGGGGGGAGGGGGGGGAACGAAATCTAACCACATACCCAAAATAATTTTGATTATAATTATGATATGATAGGTCTGAAAAGAGAGGGTCAAAAGTTCAACCGGCCCCCGCCCGCCCCGTCAAAAACGTGGCCTGAACGAAGCCAATCGCTACTCAGATCGTTGGCAATACGTAGTTAACTACGAGTTATAATAACTGGAACTGGAGCCTTTTATATGCATTACTTCCTTGATGTCGGCACACATCCCCATGGATATTATATATATACGTGTATAATCAATCCATAACCTTATTCCTGGCTGCGACGAGCACCTCTGAGGCGGGCATTTTGACACTGACTGAGGCCACTGGTTAGCTAGCAACTAGTTAGAAAAATGAATTTCTTCGGGACCGAGTTTGATTCCCGATTGGATGGTTGGAGTGAGGGTTTTGGAAAATGGCGAAGCGGGGGTTGGTTTCAAGAGGAGTGGATGTTAACAACAGGAGGTTTTCTACGGAGTTAAAGAGAGAATAAGGTGTGACGAGATGTCGAATGCGGAATTTGCTGCTGAGGTGCGGCCTGAGAGAAGATAGGGGGGACGACGATAGCTGAGGAGTTAGGAAAAGGGAAGGGAAAGGATGAAAATTATTTTCCCCTTCCTCTCGGGGGGTTGTACAGCCTGCAGACTGTGTGGAAGTTTTGTACGGGGGGGCTGCCTTTACCCGCGCGCTCATGGCTGTTCGGCGATCGTTTGGGATGGACTCATTATTCTTTGAACCCTCGAACCCTCGATTTTATCCCCCCTCCTCCTCCCCTCCCCCTCCCTCTTTATA